TGTGTGTCGTGTGTGTGTGTGTGTGTGTGTGTGTGTGTGTGTGTCGTTGTGTGTGTGTTGTGTGTGTGGTGTGTGTGCATAAAGTCCAGTTTACTTACTCTCAAGTATGTCTTTTCTTTTTACAACTTGGACTACTTTGGCACAAGTCCTCACTCGAGGTAAGATTGGGATGAACGAGAAATGGCTCACAAACCTTTCATAAATTCAGGAACTGGTTATGACAGTTACTTCATATTACTTCCCATACTCATGGAGATGACTCATAAAGGTAAAACGACGAGCCGATAGAGCTATCCATTGAACATCAATGATCACATTCAAAACAATGATTTGATGTGAATGTAATGTAATACATAGATGATGAAATTACATTAATTATCATATTTCATATGTGTTATAGGTTGTAAATTTTATAAATGTGAAAAAAAAAAAAAAAAAAACAAACACTAATTTTGTCCTTTTCTAATATATCTTCTTTTTCCAAATTTCGCGGTAAAAAGGTAATTACTCCCAGTGAAATGCAGGAACTTAGAACTCATGACAAAAGGTCCATATGTAATATCCGAACCTTTGTACAACTTGAGTCGATGATATCATAGACCTCATAACAATCTGACACCGAAAATGACGAAATAAATTCATTCCGAGAAGAAGGTGACAACCGAGGAAATGGGTCTCACCCGAGGCTCAGTTGTACTTGAACTGAGCTCACTCCGTATAAGAACCTGAACTCTGAGACGAACTTGGGATTGTAGACTATTTTTCTGAACTGAACTGAAACGATCCATAAGTACTGAACTCTGAACTGAATTCCGAACTTTCTGTCTAATGAACTTTCCTGAACTGAAAAATTTTAATTTATAAACGCAAACAAAAAACGCAAACTCGTATAATGCAAATCAATAAAGTTTGCACTAACCCACTAATATGCTGTACCGCGCGTTTGGACGCGTTGGGTGACTCTTCCGTCTTCAGAGTCAATTGTACCGTCGCCGATCGCAGATGAGCGGGTTTTTATGCACTTCAAACCTTAAAGTTCCGTAGATACAACAGCTACTGCCATTATTGTTCCTCTTTTCGCCATAGCGTGCCCAGACGTCTATTTCTAGTCACTGTGTTGGGTGGTGTTTGGTAGGTTGAGTAAGCAGTGATGTTTTGGGTGTGGTTGTCTCTCTTCCACCGCAGCTTACCACAACACAATCGCGATCTTTCCCGATTCGCAATAAATTCGATCGTAAAGTCTGAGACCAAAGTTTAGCTAATTCGTAGACCGTTTCTCTGTGTTCTGTTTTGCCATTGTACTTCGCTGACTTGGGGCGGGTGCGGCTAGTGAAAGCTGATGGTACTAATGCACTACCCTACAGTCGTCTCTCTCTCTTCTTCTTACGTTACGTTAAGTTAGTAGTTAGTGTATACGTAGTAGTTACGTGTGTGTGTGTGTGTGTGTGTGTGTGTGTGTGTGTGTGTGTGTGTGTGTGTGTGTGTGTGTGTGTGTGTGTGCAGGTGAAGCGTTCCTTTGGCCTGTGCAGTCTCCAGCTGACATATTTCGATGAGGAGAACGAGGAGGTGAGAGAATCTACTTTGAATCACTCTGGTTTGTCTTCTTGCTGTTTATAAGGCTGGGAAATATCCCCTATAATCTATCCATCATCATTTATTGTCAAATGTACCTGATGATAATCTCTATCCTAACGGCTAAACTCTTATTATTCTTTATACTCAAAAATAAACAGAAAATCATGTATTGTAACTAAGAAATATTTATTTTATACATTCAGTTAAAAAGGAACGTATACGTTAAATATGCTACATTGCTGATATTATGCTACTGTAAAAATGCATGTCATGAATAGATCTGAATAACACTTCAGTTATTTGTTTCCGTCAATTGTATTAGGGTCAGGATTATTTTACCAAACCCTTGTCAAATATTTATGGAAGCTTTATTCTCCACACAATAAAGACGTATTTACAGCTCCTGGGCTAGCTAGCTTCAGAGCTAACCCTTGTCAGTGTTTTTAGTGAACACCTCTTTTGTTCTGTGTAATATTTTTAAATTCTGAGTCATTGTGCATCCCTACTTTACAGAACTGTTAAAGGGACACCCCAAAAAGATAGTAATAGATAATAATAATAATTGTCAGAGGTGCTGCAACAGAGACTGGGATTCCTTTTCAATTTAAATTCTTTAAATCCTGTTAAATGTCTTCGTGTTTTGAACTCCAAACCCTCAATTTACTTGGCTTTGTCTGCACCCGGTAACAGGGGCGCTGCACCCTCTTACTCTCGCCATGCGCCCTCATTCCAAAATGCTGATATGTCCTATAAAATGTTAAAGTGATGCCAGAAAACAATATTTCTGTTCTTCAAAAACTGTATAATTATATTACATTACATTACATGTCACTTGTTAGACGCTTTTATCCAACGCGACTTACATACTCACTGTGGACAATTCCCACAGGAGCAATTTGGGGTAAAGTGTCTCAGGGACACAACGACATGCTGACTGCAGTGGGGTTCGAACTTGCTATCCTCTGAGTCGAAGATCAATGCACTGTGCCACTGAGCCACAGCTTCCCTAATTACTCCAGAAATATTAAATGGCGTCAAATAGAGCGTCAGACGGCAGAGAAAGCTTTGTTTTTATGGAGCTCTGACAGCGTGTTGTTGTTTACGTCCGCTGCACCAATCATCTTCATATTCTTACATATTTACACAAATAATCTCCCTTTTTCTTCTTCCAGGTGTCCATTAACAGCCAAGGTAAGCAAAAAAACGATACAATCTATGAGATAGAAACATGTGTTGCATAAAGAATTTTTGTTCATAATTGTTTCTGTATTTATTGCAGCTGACTATGAGGAGGCGTTGAAGGTAAGAAGCTTTGACGTACAATTGCTACTCACATTATGTGCTTATGGGGACATAAACAGTGCTGTACATTATATCTGAGCGGATTCCTTTATTAAATATGACCCTTCATTACCTGCCACTTGGTTTGGTTATTTTCCATTCCAAATTAAGAAATTCTCCACTTGACAAATAGTCTACATCCATGCATTACATGAGCTCAGAGTAGCTTCGTAAACTAATGGTCTGTACAGTGGATGGAAAAAGGGAACCTTCAATACTCAGGTTTTGAAGTGTTGGTTTAATCAGGCTTCAAAGAGAGAGGTTCAGTTTCAGAACACTACAGAGAAACAAAGGGGGCAGTCATGACATCTTTTTGTAAGGATACCCTAAGGTTAGCACAGCACAGCAAGTCATTTTATTGCTGAAAATAATCTCTGTGGCAAACACACGTTTATGAAACGTACTTGTCTTGTTCAGCAGGATAATCTCCAAATATTACCACCACTTTATGATTTTTGAAGCGGATATGCAAGCGCCAGAAGTACAAAGTTATCGTTAGGCTATAACTACATCCTACCTCTAAGCTAAAGGTGGCTGATGTTCCCCCATGATGGCATTAGGTAATCTAGTTTAGACACTTGTTAAACCGCAGTTTTTAAGACACATAGAAGCTTCAGACATTCAGTATAGTGGGTTATTTACGTAAGTCATTTATGTCGTAAAACAAAACGTGAAACTCTCTTCAGCTTGTGTTAACAACAGACCTTTTTTCAACATTTTGGGAACAATGTCATTGCAATTGCTAACATGCTAACTAATTTCCGGGTTTAATGACTAATTCCTGCACCACGTCTGCCAAGCTACCCCTGTCATATCATGTTGACATTGGTCAGCTAATGTCTTTAATTCTGACTGATTTTAATTGCTCCTTAGTTTTCTATCTCCAAAGGTACTAATGCTTCAGGAGATTGCTTTACCAAAGGGTTTTTCTTGTTTTCAGAACAAAGAGAGATGTATCCAATATGTCCTGTATGTTAGCAGGTGAGACTAACCGGTGTGTATATTTCCCAGAGTGCAGCGAGGCAGGGCAACCGGCTCCATATGAACGTGTACGAGACCCGGGGCCAGCCGGCGAGGGTCCCCACCACCAAGGCCAGCAGCACAGAGCCAAAGAGGGGCTTCAGACCCCCCCAGCACTGCCCCGCTCTGACCCAGGTGGTCAGCCGCAAAGTGCAGGCCGCGGTGCCGGAGCAGGGCATGGTGAGACCCCCCCCCCCAGCCGCTCACACTGGAAACTGGGCATTTCATAGCAGTCATAACACCTCAGCTGCCACTCACTGGATTAAAAAAAAAAATATTATATTATATTTGCAGGGGGGGCTGTACTTAAGGTTTTTGGCTGTGACAAGGGGTTGAGTCATTTCTACCCTTACATTACTTATAATGCAAACTATATTTTCTTATACACAAAATAACTCAATAAATCACAAACTATAATAAAAAAGGTATTCAGTTCTCGATACCCCAACGTTTCCAAAGATTCAAAGGTCTTATTGTCATGCAAAAATGTATAATTCAAAGTCACATGGTCTGCCAGCAGTGCAGCATCCAATAAACTGAGGACATTAAGAATAAGGGAGGGAAAATAGTGCAAGTTTTTCAATGGTGCAAGTGAAATGCAGGCATACAAATGCAATGTAAAATAGATTAAGATAAAACGGTCTAAAATTAAATACTGTATACTGAAATAAAATATACATATGTGGATTTGTGGAATAAACAAATAGTCGTAGGTTTTTCTTGTAATAACGGGGATTAGAAAGGACAAGTTGTCTTTTAAATTCAACAGTAATCTGTGTACATGGAAGCTCTTCGAAGGACTATTGATTAATATTTCTTGAAGTTGACCTCAGCTCAGTCTCACAGCCAGTGGCGGCCGGCCTATAAAAATAAAATATTTTTTATTTTTACTTTTATTTTTTAAAGAACAAGGTAAATATTATATAGTTGGTATCAGTAAAATGTATAACCTACAATAAAATCTCGTTTAAAATTGTTTTACGATGTCTAAAGTTACTGATAAGTCACATGTTTCCTGCCTGGCCGCAGTGTGTATCATTACCCTCTCTCGTCCGGGCGGTAGAAAGGAGCCCTCAGCCAGAGCAGCAGCAGCCAACAAGCTGAGTGTTGCTATCTGTAAACTATGCCGCCGAAACATAATTTCAGCCAATCAGCGTCGTCAGATCTGATGCTCAAAGGGCGCCCTTTCAGCGCCCTGGCCTGTGTGTCTGTGAGTTGTTTGGACTTGTATCCAAGGTGACGCTACAGTAGTTGTCTGCAGGTGTAGACTCCGGTGCTAGTGGATCGCCGGAGCTGTAGATTAACATTTACATGCTTATTGTAGTTGTAAGGGCAATGCCTGTGGCACCATGGAGCATATGTGTGGGCTGGACCTGTATTTTACAAGAAAGGAGTGATCAGAGGGCAGTTTTCATCTTCCTCACCCTCTCAGACTTTGAGTTGCGCGCGCTGCTAAAGAGACGCGCTACCATGGAAACCAAACAATGGTGTAGCTGTATTAAAGTCCGAGTGGAAACAGACGTGAGTAAATCTGATTTTGTCAGAAATCGGGAGAAATGCGGGAGTCTCCCGCGAAAATCGTGAGGGTTGGCAAGTATGACACACACACACACACACAGACAGACAGACAGACAGACAGACAGACAGACAGACANGGTTTTTTGTGCTAAATCTGTCTAAAAAGGTCAAATATCACTTGTTTTGCATCAATCTTGATACAGGGTACTTGTTATATGTTGTACTTTGGATTCCTAAAGCTTTAGGAATCCAAAGTACAACATATAACAAGTACCCTGTATCAAGATTGATGCAAAACAAGTGATATTTGACCTTTTTAGACAGATTTAGCACAAAAAACCCTCTTCTGGGGCCATTTGGGTGGATTTTTCATATCTCTGGCTCCCCCTGCTGGATTTTGACATCTCTTTCTAAGCATCAGAGCCAATGGAATCGAGGGGAACTCCCACATAGTCCTTATTTGGTCATGTGCGTGTGTTAGACTGACGCATAGCCAAGACCGGAAGCAGCAGCCACTCTGGTGGCTACCATTAGCAGCTAACTTTTGCCCTCCGATTTTTACATAAAAATGGAATTATGGATTATAAATAAGACAAATTATTGCCCAGAAACTTTATCAACCTATGGATTAACCGATTCAGCCGCGTTTTTTCTCGTTTTAATGCCATTGAACACGTCTTTTGATCAGATTAACAGCTACGGGTGAGACGATCTCCCTAGAAGCTACGTAAAGGTACGTGTTGTGATGTCTGTCTTTGCTTCCCCTGTCGCAAGTTAGGATCACTCAGTGATGATACTATATACCTAAATAATCTGTGGAACCTCAGTTTTAATCCGAGATCTTGTATGTGCAGCTACGATAAGTAATAAGGATACTTTTATCTTGAGTTCTGTGCCAATGTCCGTTAGCATTTTTCGCTAAGGGGTCATTTAGATGCTTCTTATGAGACTTGTGTTTTGTTTTGGTAAAAATGGTTTATATCGTCAGTTAGCTGAGATTATTTCCGTTAATCTGGTATAACACATTAATAGGTTCTTAAATATTAAGATCCCCTGAGACACAGTGTCCTGAAAAAAAAACCCAGGGGCTTAATTTAACTGAATTATGACCACAGTATTATTTTGTAGTTTTAAATATCTACTATAACATCACTTTTTTTTATAATAGGATCGCATTACAAGTCTGTCACAAGCTTTTCGCTTTGGCATACAGATATCCGGAGGGAGCTTGGAGTAGAGCAACGGCCCCTTGCGTAAAAAAGGGCAAGTTGAGGCATCTAAACAGCATGTCCCCTGGGCACCTCTCATTAGAGGTTCGAGGCAGATCCAGGAAGGCCCGGGGGAAGATGGATGGATGCTTTTTTATATAAAGAATATTGTTATTATATCCAATACGTTTCAGTATTGTTTTTCGATATACTTTATTGATATTATTAATCCCCACAGGGAAATTGTTTCTCTGCATTTGACCCATCCTAGTGTTAGGAGCAGTGTGCTGCCATTTTGAATGCCGCCCGGGGAGCAGTGCAGGGAACGGTGCCTTGCCTAGGGACACCTCGGTAGCACTTGGTCTTGCCGGGACTTGAACTGGTGACCTTCCAGTTGCCAAGCCAAGTCCCTATCGACTTCGCCACCACCGCCCAAAGTTTTTCAATATATTTCACGTCACCATACACTCAGCCAGTCCCTGTTCTGTGTAATGCTGTCTCGGGCTACGACACACTTTGTCAAAAGTTATTTTTAATAAATTATTTTAGGATTTAGTACCCTTCTAATTTTTCTTCCACATAAATGAAAACAACGTTTTGTCAATCAAGACTGATAAGTACAGAATAACTCAAGAGTTATTGTTAGATCATGAGCCTTTCTTTATCTCTTAGTGAATGTTTTTGTCCATCTTTAAGAGTCTTTATATGGTTCTGCTTCACCCTGAATGTGTTCCTTTCTCACTGCCTAAGCCAGTTCCCATATCCGTACCAGACCTGGAACCTGTATCTCAGTCTGATCCTTTGTTTTCTGTCCCTCAACCAAAGGTTGCGCATCGCACCAAGTCTGTTGAACATGTATCTGTCTCACTGCAAGCCTCTTTCTCTTCTCCAGCTTTACCTTTGTAAGCCTCTGCTCAAGCCTGTTTCAATCAAAGATTGGCAAATGTGCATGTCAAATTGTTCTGAGCCATAACCCTGTATTGTATTTCACCTTTAAGCCTGGTCTTCCAGTCGCACATAATTTCATTGTTTTCAGCCTGCCCTTTGATTTTAAGTAGTGTGTATAGTTCGATACATTTACTTTTTTGATCATCCTCCTCTGTGTTCCTGCCTGTTTTTCCCTGCATCTGGGCCAAACTCCTGAGCAGTCCTTCCTTTCCCCTGGTTAGCTTCCTGAGGTTTCCCAGCACTGTTCCCCCAACATAGGCAGTTTTCCCTGCCAGTTACCAGTGTCGAAGCAGACCCCCTTAGCGGTCCAGACAGTTTCTCCATTCCAGTGATCAGCCTACTGGGAACTGAATCTTCATCCCTGCTCCGACTTCTCTCTCTCTCCAACCCTACTCTACACAGCAGAATGATATCAAATGATACCACAGCTAGGATTACAATATGTAATTACTTTTGTAACTACTGGGAGAAATTACAGCTTAACATTATGACTCAAATCAGTTTAACTGACACATGTTAGGCATACCCAGGCAAATCCATGTCTCACTTCATTTTTAGATATCTACTTCACAAAAAACACATTGGCAGAGTCATGCCCAGTTATTTTAGTCATTGAGAGAGACTCTTCATGTGAGAGTCAATGTAGTAAAGCATGACTGGTGGAATGTTGTTCGTGAATCAGTGATACATATAATCATTAAGAAATTATGTTTTCCAATGCATGAAACTTGCAAATGAATTGCTATAAAAAGATATATAAGCAATAATTCAACATAATTCCGTCATCAGCATCATCTTTAAACCAGCAATAATTTAGTTGTTCGGTAAGTTGGAAGCACTATAAATTAAATGTAACACATCATAAACATGTTACCCTTGAAGTTGACGGTTGTATATTTTCACAACAAGCCGTTACAAAGCAACCTTATCATTCACTCATGTTTTTGGCCGAAAAAGTTGGGAGGGGGTTTAATGTGTCAATGACAGATTGAGGCACATTTACTAATGTTAGAAAGCCTGACAAATGGTTGAATAAGGAAGAAGGAAAAATCCAGACTTTAAAACCTGGCTTTACCAGCATGGACTTCTAACCATGCTTCATTGGCTCTTCACAGTTCACAAGTTTCAGATCACTGCTCTAGTCTAGAGGGCCTTGAGAGGAGCACATGTCGAAACAACCAACAATTTAGCCAAGCTTTTTTCATTAGGCCTATACATTTGAAACTGCATATCCCCCTTTATTCGGTTGGAATCCAAGGTGGCAAAAAGCAATCTTATTAATTCAGAAAAACTCCAAAGATGACCTCTTATAGAAAGCTCTGGTTGAGCTCACTTTGCCGTAGGAGGAAAAATGCTAACGGGGCCACAAAACAAAGGCCTTGAAGTACGAATCACTAGTTCAGGAGTGCAAGAACAAGAGATGGGAGGCATATTTGTTCCCTGTGGACATAGGCTGCAGAGCCAAATCAGTGTGGTGGTTGTTGTCAACTCAGGAATAGTGCAAAACATGTGGGAGGGTGAGCCTCTTGCTTGGTACAGAGGAGGCAAGTGGTAGGAAACCGGAGTCCAGGATCCAGGATTATATGGGCATTGACTTGGAGTGTCATGGTTAAAGCCTGCGTCACACCCCAAACTTG